AGGAACAGCATTTACCCCTACGCGGAAGCTCGGGGCGTGGGCTCTGCGAACACACCACCCCCACCGGGCCTCGCTCACGACTGCCAGCCCCAGGCCAGAGCAACCCCTCTGCCCTTACCAGCCCCCCTACCTCAGGTCTCAGGGAACAGTCCCCACACTCCGGTACCCTTCCTGACCTTGTCCCCCGCCCGTCCAGGGCCTCACCGGTGACAGGTGATCCCCAGTCCGGGCTCGCTCACAGAGCCCCAAGCCTCAGGGCCCTACTCCCAGTCTTCACCCTCCCAGGGTCACGGGGCCTCCCTGCTCGTCAGCAACCCCGCTCTTCTTTCACACTGGACTTTTCCACAGCAGTCGTTTTAAGTCAGATCCCTTCTTCTCACACCTTCTGTTCCACCGGCCTCCACCTGTCTCCTGAGAAGACGGGGGCACCTGTACTATCCACTTGGCTCCAGGACACTGAAACGTGCTTGTTGCTACTTCCTTCTAATGGCTCTGCTGTCTCAGCTGAGGTCCCCTTCTACCCTTTTCCGTGTGCCCTTCAGCCACCATGTCTCCTCAAACACCCTGGTTCTGGTCTTTCTTGTGCTTTCGATATGTCCTTTTGCTCTATGTGTTTATTAGTTTTTTTAAAGGAAAAAAAAAAAAAGGCTGGCCCACTAGAAAGGGCAGTCTCTACACACAGGCCCACATGTAAACCTACACAACCCACGCCTGCACCTTCTGAAACGCTCTCGCACCCTCCCAGCCACCAAAGCCAGTGGCTCTCCTTAGCCCACATCCTTCCTGACGCTACCGTGGCACCGCAGACTCAACGGGCTGAAAGCTGAACTCAGGCTTCCTCTCCTTCCCATTCCCTCCGAGGCTGCTTCCCCACGCCTCCCTGTTCAGGCCAAGCCCTCCTGCTCAGCCCCGCCTCAGCTGAGCTATCAAGCCTCCTTTCTTTCCACCACCGCCATGTCTGTGTCACTCAGGACACGCCTTCTCCACGGCCACAGCCACGGCCACCGGCATCTCTGTTCAGGCCCCGACACACTTCACCGGTCTCCCGGTCCCTGTTCCCCTCACCACCATGGCCTTCGCAGACCCTCAACGGTCTCTCCCATCAAATTCTAGACTCTAGCCTGAGAGGGAAGGCCTTCTAAGGACTGGCTCCGGCCTCTGTTTCCAGGTGTTGTGACCTTCCCCACTGGCATTTCATTTCATGGACTTCATGTTTCCTTTGAACTCTAGCAGGATTCACAGCTCCCCAGAACCTGCCCCACACGTCGCACCTCCATGCTTGAAATCAGGCCCGTCCATCCACCTGTAATGCTCAACACTGTCTTTACTTAAGGAAATCCTGTTTTTCTCTTTGGAGATGTGGAAAAGATGCCATGTCTTCCTGCCTCCGCAGCTGCTAAGTATTCATTCCCTCCCCGAGCTTCCAGAGTTCAAACAGGCCCCTCTCTTTCTCATCCTTATCCCATGGTCTCCAATATTATCGCTCCCTGTGCGCTGGCCTCATTGTCCCTATTAGATCGCAGGTTCCTGGGGACAGCGACGATAACAGCCCCTGTAATAGTCAGCAGCCCCACGCAAGCTCCTCCCACCTTCATCTCAGCCACCCCAGGAGCAGAGCCTCCCTCCTCAGATGGAGATTAGGTAACATGCACAAGGTGTGGAAGGGCCAGAACTTGAATTTAGGCTTGTCTGACTTCGAAACCAGTGCTCTGAACTACGGGGTGGTATCTCCCACCACCCATAGACTCGACCAACAGCTCCAAATAAAACATCATCTCCATGAGTCGCGGGACATGGGACAGTTCACTGAGCTGGGTTCCCCCGAGTTGCTGACTCTGCTAAGCCAATGCATACATTAATAGGGAGAAGGCATAGACAGTCTGGGCTCTAACTCTTAGATGATGCTTTAAAAATACAGAAGAAAGTTGTGATGCTTCAAGGCTTAAGGATATCAGGTGCGCAATGACAGGAAAAACCTAATGCACCTGGATTAGGTAATGACCTGATTTTGTCTCTTTCCTTGGAAGCACTCGTGTCAGAGAGGCAATGACTCGAGGCCATGCCAAGAGGCCTGTGTAGATCATTCAGACCATGGTTATGTAGAAAATTCTGTTACCTGAAGCTGTGCCATCAGCCCTGGGAAGACATGATGACCATACTCTGCTGACAGAGTCTGGACCAGGGCAAACGCGAGGTCCCACGGCATGTGTGCACAGGAAAATACCACGTGGCACACACAGGTATGAGGTCGAGACAAGCTGTGGCTACAAGTGGCTAAGGGCTGTAATCCTCTGAAGGGAATGTCATTATGCAGCTCAAATCTCATCACAACAAATACCGTTAAAACAGAGATATCTGTATAACAAAAATCCTTTCAAGCTTTGGCTGACGGCCCACGTCCTTCAAGCAATATTTGATGTGAGATTTGGAGTCCGCAGTAATGGGAATTGACCTATATTTCCAGAGGTAAGATTTGAATGATTTCATCTGTAGCTTCTACCCCATGGTACCATGGGTTGGAATCCTGTACGATCTAAACCCGTGAGCATGAAAACCAAACGCGAAGTCAGGGACCAAATCAACCTTGGTTGTGAAAGGCAGAATTCCTTCCTTTCATTTGGGGGAGCATTTAGGTACAGGAGAAGGCCTCTGACCCACACCCTGACATGGCGCAAAGCTGGTGTGTGGCCTCATCTCCGCGAGGTGAGCACATGGCAGGAGAGCGCACAAAGACAGGAGGAACATGTTCAATTTCTTACTCTGCTACTTACTAGCTTGGTCCATGGGGCTGTTGCTTAACTTCCACAGAGCCTCCATTTCCTCATCTCTAAAATGTGACCAACAACACCTACTTTCAGGATTTTCGCAAGACCTAAAAGAATGGACTCCTAAAACAGCCCGGTGCGTAGCCTACATGCTCAAAAAAGTTGGTTCCCTCCTCTGGCCTCCTCCCCCCTCCAAGACGGTGGGCTTATGCCAACTATTTAAATGAGGTTGGTTGTAAGACCTAGTGAACGAGGTCAACAAAATGTATAGTCTCAAGCACGGCCAGGTCAAGACAGTGTTCAGGGGAACGCTGGGGAAAAGAGAGAAAATGGTAGAAGAACTAGGCCATGCACACTTTTCTGACTGAAAGGAGGGTCTTCTGGCTAAGGCAGGCTTTGTGTCAAATAAAATGCAAGTAATCAGGCAACAGAAGAAATGAGCTTTGATCACATATGTCAGAGGTCATCCTGAAAAATGCTGACAAACTGAAATTTGGAGGCATGTTTTCCTGGACTGGGATGAAGTATGGCCACGGCTCCAAAACCCTCGCTTACTGCCCCTGGCCTCGTTCTCCGGCCCTTATTTGGTGACTCTTTAGCACTAGTCTGGTGCACTGTACCATCTTTCCTCCAGTAGGATACTACGGAAATTACATATTAAAACAAATTCTAGTCTTCTCCATTTGAGAGTAATGCAGGTAAATAATTCAGGAGTATTATTGACAACCTTCTCAATGTTGTCCCAATTTGTGACATTTTAAATCCTACTGAATTTTAGGGAGGTGATTTTCTTTTTTTCAAATTACGGGACAATCGAGTTTGTGGGGACAAAATTCCACGTAAGCCAAGAACACTATTGGTGTTAGACGCCTTGAAACAGAAAACAGAGTCCTAAGAACAAAATCTGAAGGTGTGTCTGTCCACCCTTATAAAATGAGTTCTGGCTTTAAAATTCTTCAAAGGTTCCCCAAAGTGCTATCAGACTGCAGCAGCTAGAGAGAACATGAGGTAGCCCACCATTTCTCGGGGTCACAAAGCATTAGTCTCAAAGATAATTTCCTCCTCTCCCTTCACCTTGACAGTAGGAAGGAGGCTCAGAGAAAAAGTATGTGCCAATGTTCAGGCGTTCAAGTCAACCACAGGTACAAAGCCCAACCATGAGTTTGCAGGACCTCTCCTGAGAGGCAACAGAGAAATAAATTAATAGGGCAGACCCAATTTCCAAGGAGCAGAGAAAAATGAAGTGCAAGATCCACTCAGAAGACAGGGGAGCCCTGGGTTAGATAGCCCAAGACATCAAGAACAGAAAGAACAAAAATAAGAAAGCAAGGTTAGAACATCCGCTAAGATTGAACAGTAGCAAGCAGCAGAGAAGATGTTTTTTTAAATTTGCACAGAGCCTACAGAGGATGCCTCCAGTACACAGAAGCTTCCGCGCCATAAAGAGGTTTCTGATCTCTATTTTAATAACTGAAACCCCCTCTCCCCATCACCCTCGCCCTAAAATGGAGGCAGTAAAAACCACCAGACTGTACACTTGAAATTCACCACTGGCAAGGGCGTAAACCACACGCATTTCTGAAGGTGTGCTAACTATTTCAGGCCACTAGGGTGCTTCTTCCCGCCCGAAAAGGCACATTTCACTTAAGGATCCCCATCTAAGCCCCAAGAATTGATGCCCCTCTGAAAAAGTACACCCTTTCTTCCTTACACCAGTGGCACTGCACTAACTGTGCGGGAGGCATCTCAGGGTCCCCACAGGCTAAGGAAAAGTCCAGTGCGGTCGTAATTGCACCGGCAAGAACGGGGAGGCAGAGGGAGAAAGAGTTCGCTCCCGCAACGCCAGGCAGGGCAGCACGGCTCCTGGGAGAGGCAAGCACTCCGCCCGAGAGGAGCCTGCGCCGCCGAGGAAGTGACCTCGGGAGAGCAATCACGCGCCTGGACAGAGGCGCGGCCGCGCGCTCCCGCCACTCCTCCCTCCCGCGCGTCCCAGTCCCAGGCCGGCTCGGTCCACCTGTGCGGCGGGGCGGGGGCGCGGGGCCCGCGCGGGGAGGAGCCCGGCTGGCCGGAGCCCCGGGGCGGCGGCGGCTCCCCTCGTGGTCCTCCCTCCCTGGGGCGCTGGGCAGCCCCGCAGGGCCCGCCTGCCCCCCCACCCCTCCAGCCCCGGCACCCCGGCCGCGCGCCCCCCTCCACCCCACCCCGCGCCCACCCCCACCCCTCCCCAGCGGTCTGTACCTTTACTCTGGGGAGGGTTCTGACTCCGGTCCCGGAGGACGTTGATCTGGTAGACGGCTCCGTAAGGCTCAAAAAGTTCTTTCAGCTCCTTTTCCGACCAGGACCGGGGGATCTGTCCGACAAACATCTTAATGGCATCTGGGTCTGGTTGGTCTGAGTGATCCAAAGCGCCGTTCATCTTGTTGGCTGTGCCGTTACTGTCAAAAAGGGAACCGGGAGCCAGAGTTAGGGCTGCACGGTGAGGGACAGGAAGAAAAAAAAGGGGGGTGGGGGTGGGGGCGGGGAGGCGGAAGGAGGAGGAAGAGGAGCACGGGGCAAAGTGCCTAATGAGTCGGAGAAATTTGATGAACTAAAACAAAGCACAGGCACCATTAGGTTGCTCGGCGGCAGCAGCGGCTGCGGGCTCTCACTGCAGGCTGCGGTTCAGCATCGCCGCCCGAGCACAGGGCAGCGCCCCGCCGGCTGTCACCCGGGGCGTGGACATCTTGAAGCCCGGCTCGGGAGGCAGCTGCAAGTTAAGTGCAGGTCTCGCTCTGCAAGGCGGCCACCAACGCATCGGCAGCCTTATCAGCCCCACACTGGCTCTCGGTGCAAAGAAGGGGAGGGCAGGATTTCTGTTGGATTCTCCCCCTCCGCCCTCCTCCACCCCCACCCCGCGCCTTTTGGAGGGCTTTGGAAGAGAGGAGAGAGGTGGTAATAATAAAGTCACATGAAAAGAAAATGAAACACTTGGCAGTCCGTCAGATGACTAATGCAAGACGTTGGTGATGAATTTGCACAGTGCGCGAGGCATCCATGTGTGCATCAAATTAGGACGTTGTTGCTGCTCAGAATGGAAAGTGCTCCAGCAATGCGGCTCGGCGCAGCCCATTGGCTGCCCACGCTGGAGAAAAGGGCCGGGCAGGGAGGGGGCTCCCGTTTAAAAAGCACATTGTTTATGGGATCCAGGCACAAAGGGTTTAATTCAGAGAGGCAAAGGCGATCTCAGAAATGCCTGCTTTGTGCTGGAAAAAAAAAATGCAGCCCCAGAAAGTTGAGTTCCCACTAAAGGACACTGAATATTTCAAATCTTTCACACTCCATAAATTGCTCTCTGTATATCTGACTTCCAGATGTTGTACTTGAGTTCGAAACAATCACACGTTTGGGAGAGAAAAGAGGAAAATCTGCCTTTTCTTCTCCTGGCTTCAGTAAATATTTGGGGCTGATACAAAGAGCGAGACCATGGGCTTTTACATATCGGTCTTCTTTAATGCTGTTTTCCGAAACCGTCATTTGGAAGAGAGAACGCTCAGGTTTAGAGTTCTGCCGTTCTACTCAACGTCATGTAATATGATGACGAAGGCATTCATTTTTTTTTTTTTAACTTTGGATCCCTCCTATTTGAGCTGCAGTAAACAGTAAAGCAAAATCCGCTACCTCCTTCATCTCGCCCCTCACCCCCCACTCCTGAATGTACCCTAAACCCATCCATTCTGCCAACTGACAAGGCTGAATGCCCTATGGCTGAATGAGTGGCATTCACTGGCAGTACTGGGTTCCTGACTTTACATCCCATCCTGTGAAAATAAAATGGACCCAAGCAAGTACACGGCGGGCAGATACGGTAACTACGGAGCCACTTCCATGGCCACTGCCAGTCCCCAGCTCAGGAGGCAGAAAGGTCAAAAAGGGGCCACAGGGACTAAAACTTATTTCCGGGTAGCCTGGGGGAAATAATGAGAAGACGCTCAAGGATCTTAAGCGGGGTTCCTTATTAGGTTAAAGCCCACGATCAAAGACCACCAGAGTACCTTCCGTCCACGTGGACCTAGCTCGGGTCGCCCCAAGCTCCGGATAAAAAAAGACCCTGCGTGATGGCTAAAAGACAAACAAAAAGCCTGTGGAGAGGAGAAATCCTGAATTCAATTTAATCCTGAGAGGAAAATGACAGCAAATACTCTTCACTAGGTCCTGGCTCTGATTTCCACTTCTTCTGACCCCTCCCAGTTTACCACTTAATTTTTTTTTTTCTTAAATTCTTGAGATAAACAATCAGACTGTCTTAACTTGAAGCACTTTCGGAGCTTTTCTCTAATCAAACTTATTGTTATAAAAAATGTTCTGCCAAATAAAATACCGAGTGCAAAATAGAGTGCCTTCCACAATTTGGGTGCAGGGTGACGCTTGTTTGCGGTAGAGGATGATCGCTCGTCTTGTTCCCAGGCACCTCTATGTCTTCACAAATCGCCCTTGGAGGATTCAGTGAACTCTGTAACCCACTCCCCTCCCTCCCCCCCAGCTGACTCCCGCACAGTGTGGGCGGCAGAGCCCCACGCAGAACAGAATGTCGCGCTCACAGCTCACTGGGAGCAGAAAATGTGGCAAGATGTATTTCTGGGCCAGGAAGGGCTGTGGTTACCGCTGCCGACAGTCAGCGAGCCTGAAAAGCAGAAGGCACTGCCACAGGTCTCAGCTAAGGGGGAACGGAAGTTCCACAAATGGGGCTCTTGCATCTTGTCTGTACAGAGCATAGTTAATACAATGGAGGGGTTAGGGGACGGTACACCAGCCCTCACACCAGAACTTAGAGCAAGCATCCCGGTACTGCCTGCCCCACGGGGGCCTTTCTCCTTTCCTCAAGAAATACTCATGGGGGTGCCTAAAGGAAGGGAAGCTGATGAGGAGGCTGGCGCCTCACGCCTTTGCTCTTTCTGTGGGTGCCTATTTATAAACCTTCCCCATCAGCCATCCTGCAGAGATGCCTGCAGATCTCTGATCTGAGCGGGCTGTCAGGGCTCAGGGCATGGGCTCTGAATTCCGGGCCACCCCTTTGAACTGTGTCACTTCGGGCCTTAAACTCTTGGTCTATAAAATGGGAGTCACAGGGGCGCCTGGGTGGCTCAGTGGGTTAAGCCGCTGCCTTCGGCTCAGGTCATGATCTCAGGGTCCTGGGATCGAGCCCCGCATCGGGCTCTCTGCTCAGCGGGGAGCCTGCTTCCTCCTCTCTCTCTCTGCCTGCCTCTCTGCCTGCTTGTGATCTCTGTCTGTCAAATAACTAACTAACTAACTAACTAAATAAATGGGAGTGACAGGTGCCGTGTCACAGAGTCGGGTGTCTGATACGGAATGCAGCCCGGGAGAAAGGTCTGAGCAGTGTAGCTTCTCCTGCTGTTAAACTGCGTCTTTGCACTCGGAATGTGCTCGGCAATGACTGACCCTTTGCAAATCTTCTTCTCAGTCCTCAGGTTTTCACAGAGGAGACTCAAACGCAATTCATCCCCTAAACAACACTGCCCATCTTCCAGTGAGGGCTTACATGCCAGATGCTGCGGGAGGCGTTTTACCCTCATTTCTAATCCTTATAACAACCCGATGAGAAAGTATTATTTTCTAGATGCAATCATGGAAGAATTATGTTCCTTTTTTAAGATGACTGGCTTATATGCTATAGAAGGAGAATTCAAACCTAGGCCCAACGCGCTCTAAAGCACGAAACATCTCTAATCCATCATGTGGCCGAACACTGTGTCAGGTCTCCCTTGGGCTGTGAGGGAATGGCTCAGGGTAAATCCAAGAGAAGACAAGGCCAGGAGCAAATCCTGCTGGGTCCCTAGAATCACACTGCCAAATAAAAGGCACACTAAGAGAAACACACACACACACACACACACACACACACACACACACCTTTCTACTATCTATGGAAAGGAGGGGTCAATGCTGAACTTGACACTCCATCGAGCCTTTGTTAAAACACACATTTTTCTCAATAATCACATAACAACGTCTCCATCTCCACGGATTCCCTTCCTCTCTATCCCCACAGGGTAACATCAATGAGCACCTCTCACCCACACGGACACGTCATTTCCGAACTCCTTGCCATTTTGCAAAGAACCGTTCCAAAGATTATCGTTAAATGCTAAGTGCCTGACAATCCCTTAAGTAGTTCCAACGACGTCTATTTCTTACACAAACTACCGCAAAAGCACATCTTCTCAATCAAAAGCCTCTGTGCAGGACAGGCGGCCCGAACCCTCGCCGACCCCACATGGCTGACCCCCCACGCGAGATCCTAATGGTACCACAACAGACTGGTTCACTTTGCTCTGATGCAGGCAAGCTCCCCCTTCTTTGCACTCCCAGCTTTCTCCCTGGCTGATGCGTGTTTCTAGCAGAGACTTACTGACTTCTTCTGTCCTCAGGAGGCTGTGTGTGCTGACACTTCTAAGGAAGCCAGAAATGTGTCCACAGTTAGACCACTGGGGCTACCTGCCAGAGGCCACAGAGAACTCATGTGCTCTTCACAGAGGAATAATTATGGGAACAGAGACCCCCAGTCGCAGCAAGATCTTCTATTTACTAGACTCACCTCAGGCTTAGAAAATTGGACTGGCTCACTTCTCTTTGCACTCCCTAGCCATTTTTAGCACCTAGCCCGGTGCGGGAATCACATTCGAATGCAAATACTTACTGACAGCCTCCTCTTTGCCAGAACACTCGCCACGTACTTGACATACGGTATTGCAACAGCTCCACGGGGTGGCCTTATCATCCCTGTTTAGGAAATGACACCACTGAGAGGCATGGAGGTAAAGTGACTTTTCCAATGCCACGCCCCTAAGAACAGGTGTCTGCAGAATCTGGACACGTTAAGATGTTAAGGCCAATTGTCATCACTCACTATTCCATGAGCCGGGTTTCTGGAGGCTGAGGTTCCTGGAGGACTCAGGGGTCGCGTGCAGGCCTTCAACGAAAGCGCCTGTGTCTCTGCCGGCACCTCACCTCCAAGCTACAAGAGACTGAGCGCCAATGCCGCTCTTGGTTTTGGCGAGGAGCCAAACCTGAGGCTCCTCTAGGACAGATGCCATATGGAATCGGACCATGAGTTAGAGAGCACCAAGCCAGCGGGCACTGGTGGTATCAGTCTCCGAGCCAAGACGAAAATATAATGATGTTTGGGGATGAAAAAAATGAGTGCGCTTACTTTTTTGCTTTTAGCACAGGCACTGACCTACTTCCCTACTCCATTTTTGCATAAAGAAAACTAGATCAACAGAGGATATGCAAAATCTTCTGAGGTTCCTCTAAGCAGTCAAATGTTACCAAAATTATAATAATTGATTCAATATATAACTGTTATTAATTCCAGGGCAACAAGCTGTATAAGGCCAGGCGAACTGCAGGTTCCCTTTTGGAGTGTGGTAACAAAAGA